TTTATAATATACTTTGATTAATATACATTATTGCAAACTATACTACATATTTACATTTTATTTTTATTTATTTATTTTTTGTGTCAGGCCCAAGATCGGTTTATACGGGGCCCAACAAGATGCCCTAGTCCAACCCAAATCCTAAACATACACACGAGCTAGGGTTTCCAGCTAGCATTCCAAGCGGCGCTGCATCCGTTGCCTCAATGCTCGGCCGAGTCCCTTGGTCAAGCATTCAAACGCCACGACAACAACCCACCGAGTCCAATGCCGGGTTTCTCGCCTCAACATCACCAACACCAACAAACACAAGATGTCAGTGTTTCATTTGGAATGAAACTCCTAGTTATTTCCATTATAAAAACATGTAACTAGGACACAGAAAAGGGAGAGCACAAGATTTACAGAGAGAGTTTACACGTGAGCCCATACACAGTCATTTTCACACAATTTCACACACACGAGATACACAAGCATTACGAGAGGGTACACAAGAAAGCACAGGAAACTAGCAAATCTCTGTAAATTTCGAAAGAGAAATAAATAAAAGGTATCGCTTTTACCTTTGTTTGTCGATTCGGTTCCCTTGCACTGCTTGCATGCCGCTATTGTTGAGTTTTTGAATCACCAAGAACCATTCGGCCGAGGAACGAAAGGGAGGCCCTTTGTTTTTCAAAAAGAAAAAATTTCAGATCTACGTTTTTTCTAGTCGATTTTTGAAAAACAATCTTTGTTTTTAGAAAGGAATTCCAAAAAGCTTTCGAGATTTCAAAAAAAATATATATAAAAACGCGAGTTTTGCCGCCGATGAACGACGGCCGGCGCCGTTTAACGGCGACGGCGAGGCGGCGTACGGTGGCCGTGTTCTGGGTTCATCGAGACCCACGGCTGTGTTCTTCATCCTCGATGAACTGAGGAGAGGATGGAGAGAGGGAAGAAGGGACATTTCGGCGAGAGAGAGGAGGATGAAATGAACTTCAAAGCGTTTGGTTGAGTTAAATGCTGCGTGTTTCTGTTATATTAAGGGTAACTATGCCTTGTGACCCTCTGATTCCTAAAACTTCCATTTTACCCCCCAAATCCGATTTTTAAACCCCATTCTCTTTTGAATTCGACCTTCAATCAAGGTTTTCTTTCAATTTAGTCATGTTACTTCGTTTTTATTTTTATTTTATAATAATTATTATTATTATTTTAATATTATTACTATATATATATATACGCATTTCATATTTTATTTTTATATTAATACTTTTTGTTACGTTTACAAATTAGTATATATGTATATATTTTTTAATTTAACTATTACTATTATCTTTTTACTAATTTATATATATATATATATTGCGTTATTATTACTATATATGTATACTTTTTTCTTCATTGATTATTTTGCTTAATATTATTTTAATATATATATATATATATATATATATATATATGTATATACTTATAATAGTTTATTTATATATCTATTATTATTATGTGTACATTTCAAACGTTTTTATTCGATTACCTTTTTTCTTTACTTTGTTTTTATTTCTTTGATGATCACCTTTTTATTCATTGTATTTGTTTATTCGTTGGTTGTATGTAGATTATTAATATTTCATTTATTTAGTTTACTCTGCTTATTAACCCTTTTTTTCTCTATTTTTATCTTCATTCTTGTTTCCTTTATTTTTCATTTTTTTTTTCTATTTTCGTTCTTTAACGTCTTTATTGTTAAGGGAATTTCAATCAGTCAAGGGTAAGTAGTTCAGATCGATGTTTTACCTTTTAATTTAACTTTCAATTCTCTTAATTAAAGACAACTGGAAATTACATAGTACCGAAAGGGCAGTTCAAGGGTGCTAATCCTTCCTTGGCTGTAATCGACTCCCGAGCCCGACATATTTCCGGTAAGACGCAGATCAGGTAAGAAATAGGGTATCCGATCAACCCATTTATTTTTAAATAAATGATCGGTGGCGACTCCAATCCATTTTCCTAAGTCGAAGCCCAATTCCGGAGCCCAACCGAAAGACGGTTGCGACACTTACATAGTTATTGTGTGATTAGTTATTACGTTAATGATTATAATAAAATATCTTAATTAGGAGGTTAGTTTACATTTATTATCATGAACATTCATTATAGTTTTAAAGTTTCTTTCTTTCTAACTTTTATAAGAAAAATATTTATGTTTTGTATAATGATTTGAGTGGACAAATCAAAACTAATATTAATCTATGTAGGCAAGCAGCAGCAACTGGTGCAGTCTACATGTTTACCTTTTGCAGAGAAAAGAAAAGCAGGAGATCGTGGGAAGAAGGTACAGTCACAGTGAATAATCAAAATCACTGATCAAATCATCATTAGAATTCCAACTCTAAAGAAAATATACATTAAGCAGATAAAACTCCTAAAAGAGTGGATTAATATTTGATTAAACCGTATGGTGATAGACATGCACAGCTCGGTGGACGTGAGGTTTACGATCTGCACTGCAGTAGGGATTAGTGGCCACTGGGCAACGCCTACTGTAAGCCTATGACACCAGTGCTAGAATGACACTAAACCACGATCATCTCAACCAAAAAGATCATCTTTTTATTGTGACTACTTGTCACCGAAGCCATTGTTTTCTTCAGTAGAGTTTCATGCACAGACAATGGCAGCAGTGCACCCAGCCCCTGTTCTTTTTTCTCTCTTCTCTCTCTGTTGAATCATTAGAACCAAGTAGTACATTGGCAGCATGAAACTTATTTGTTATTATATTTTTTTTAAGTTTGATATTTTTTTCGGGTCAGGTCGGTTTTTTAAGTGTGATATTCGGGTTGGGTCGGGTTCGAGTTTAGGGTGAAAAATACCCGACCTACCCGAAAAATATATATAATTTTACCTTATATATTTAGAAATAATTACAATAATACCCTTCTATATATAATTTTTTCAATTAAGTCATTGTTTTTATTGAATAAAAATAATTTTATTAATTAGTCTGTGTATTTTCTAGATTTTATAATTTATATTTTATTCAAAAAAATGTAAATTTTGTTAAATTAAGTTATATTTATTTTAATTTAACAATCGATATTCAATCTATTAATTAGTAATCAAATTGAATTTTGTATCAATTATTATGGTAAGGATCCTCTAAATCTTTTCTATTTTCAGTTATAAATTAAAAATATTACATCTTATAACACCGTTGAATTTATATTTATTTATATATTAGATTAATAATAATATTGATTAAATCAATATTGATTAAATCAATATTCAGTCTCCTTAAAATTTTATTTTTTTGAACGTGGATATATCAAAACTGGGAAAGTCTCACGTGCGGTGCGGCAGCCTTAATATAAAGTTAAGGAAAACGTTATTGGTTTTGTTGTTATTTTTTTTAATAAAACCGGTAAAAATTTATCGAAAACATGATTTTTTTATCGGTTTTGTTATTTTTTCTACCAATTTTATTATTATTGGACATTTTACCGGAAATATTAAAAAATATTAACGTTTTAAGTATAAACAATAATATTTTAAGTAAATTTTATCAATTTAATTATGAAAATAATAACAAAACCAATAATATTTTTCTTTAATCGTATATTAAGATTTCAGTAAGTATAACTTCCCATCAAAACTCACCTTACGGATTTAACGATATTGAAACCAAGGGTTGTTAGATACATGTGCCAACATTAAATAGAATATTTATTTTGAGTTGACAACTGCCTCAAAATGGCTCCCACCATATCCAAATATAATTTTGTGAAAAAAGTATTAAAATATTTATATTATTTATTTTTTAAATATAAAATCATTATTTTTTATTTAAATAAATTTAAGTTTCAATGTTTACATGATAATTAATATCTTTTAGTAGTTTTATTAGTTAGAGATATAATTAGCACATATATCTATGGTATTATAATCAAAATTCTCAAAAAATAATAATAATTCCTATCACTGAGATCACTTAATTTGTGCGACCTCAATAATAAAGAGAATATTAATAGAAAAATTACAAATCAATTTAGAACGATGTCCAATCAATATTATATAATATTTTAATAGTTTGTGATAATTATAAAATATAATTTATTCAGTTTTTTTTATGTATTGTTAACACATACCCATCATATAAATATGGCTACTCGAAATTTGATTATATAAAATTTAAACCTACTGATAATATCTGTAATGTTTAAAGCCTCGGGACATTTGCTCCAGTATCCGTTCAGCAGAGCATTAAACACTAAAATCCAAGCTTAAATTTATTATCCCATCATTCAAATAAAAAGTTCAAACACTTTATCGTTAGGGCCGTAAATGAGACGAGACAGATCGTAAGTTACTCGAGATCGACTCGATCAATGCTCGATAAATACTCGGATCGAATGGACTCGACTCGAGCTCGACTCGAATTCTTAACGAGCCGAAACGAGCTACTTGATACTCGACTCGAAAAGCTCATGAGCAGCTCGAAAATATAATATATAAGATTATATTTTTTTAAAAAAAATTATTAAAAATATTAATATTTATGTATTGATTTTTTTAAAGAGAATACATTAAGATTTTCATGCATTTAAGATTCAGGTTCGAGTTCGAGTTTGAGGCTTCAATCGAGTTAAGTTTAAGAATTTTTTTCTTCATTTCGAGCTGCTCACGAGCTTCAGTTCATGATTTCGAGTTCGAGTCGAGCTTGAAAATTTTAAACTCGCGAGTTTTCGAGTCAAGTCAAGCTCAATTTCAGAGTTTTCGAGTCGAGTCGAGCTCAACAATACTCGAACTCGACTCGGCTAGTTTACACCCCTATTTATCGTCTGATTTATTAACTTGTGTTGAAAAGTCAAATATACTTATTTCATCTGCTCATTTTAAAATTATTTATAACTTAATTTAAGTAAACTATAGATTTATATTTAATACCAGTTGAGTTTTATTACAGTTTCTCTAATTGATTTATAAATTTCAAGAAAAGGGTTGAGGAAAGGCTAGGTGGTGAGTGTTTCCGTAGGCGTACCTGCCAATCAGTTGTATAACAGGGCAAAATAACTTGTATGTGAAGCAAGATCTCTTCACCTAGACATTTGGGAGTTGATAGAACCACAGACAGATTTGATAACTTCCTTGTCTAAATTGTTTCTGTCGTTTTTTTTTGTGTGAGAATAGTTTAAGATGCCTTGTCTCCCTCTATTCGAACTGTTCTCTTTGTCCTCTTGAAGATCATCATCATCATCGCCTCATCATTTTTGGGGATTGATTCTTGAGGAAAATGAAGTGTTTTCTGATAATTATTATTATTCTGCAGATTATAAGCAGGATTAATACATCAACCAGCTCTTTAGCATCTCATGATGTTGTTGCTCAACAACAAGGTTTGTCATTTAGTTATCTGTTTTACATCCTAACGTTTGGTCTTTGTTTAACAATGAAACTTTACCCTGTCTATTTCTTCTTCTGGATCAAACAGATTCAGATAACTTCGAGGCTAAACAGGTTAGTTATTTGTTTTGTTTTGTTTTTTTTAATCGAATCATGGTGTGTAGGGAGTCGATCTTTTGGTAAACTGTTTTTTTTTTTTTGCAGGGCGGTGGTGTTGAAGCATATAGGAGTAGGATGGTGGGAAGAGTGGGGTCAAGGCCACCGAACTGCCAACGCAAATGCGGCGGGTGTACGCCTTGTGTCGCCACTCAAATGCCCGCAACGACCGATGAACTGGGGATTCAGTACACCAATTATGAGCCTGAGGGGTGGAAATGCAAGTGTGGCTCCACTTTCTTCAACCCCTAAATGCCTGCCTGCCCTGCTGGGCTCAATCGAAAGCATCGAGGATTATTAACCACCGTGTTTAGCTTTCTCTCGCTCGGCATGACCCCATGTATGTACAGACTCGTTTTGTCTTTCTTCTTAAATTGAGAGTGAGTGGGATTATTGTATCGGTACTTACTGGAATACGTAAAAGGCAGTGTTTGTTGCGTGCAATGAATGAAGCCGACTAGCTTGCTGCCATGTGCTGCAAGTTGGCTACGATTCATCGTTTTCACGGACAGTTTCAACTGGATCGTAGACATGATTTTGGACCCTCCATTGGGCTTTCCAGCTCGGAATCGAAGAATATAAACCAGTTTTATGCCTGTATTGTATAAATCATAAAATCTCTGTTTTCCATTTCTGGGGAAGAAGCATTTAAAGCTTAATGCTTAAATCGGAAACGAGGTCTACTTTCATTCATCCAAGTAGATTTTTATACTTTCATAATTGCTATAATTGTTGATATAAGATTTAAGTTGGTTGGTCTAACCGAGTTTTCAGGTTATATATGTTTAAAAATAAAGATTTAATTATACATAACATACATCCTATAAATACAATAATTTAAATTCAGATTTTTAAAAATAATAAAATCATCTTTAATATATTTAACCAACAATAATTTATATATTGTTTATGTGATGAGAAATCTTTATGAAGTAGGGATGGCAAACGGGCGGGTCGGGTACGGATACCCCCTCCCCCATCCCCATACCCACCTAATATTTTTTAATCCACCACCTGCCCACCACCCATGATGGGTACAAATTTTCAAATCCACACCCGCCCACGCGGGTACACTTTCAAATTCATCCCTACACCCACTACCCACTAGCGACATACATATCTAGACCCGCCTGACAGCAAACTAATGGGATGTTGGAGTTGGTTCCCAGACAGTTTGTGATGGGGTAGCAGCGCATGCTTCAATTTGTCAGAGTAGCTCTACGAATGTTATGGAGACAGATTGTAGGGAACATGTAGTCGCAGAGCTGGATTGTTGATGTTAATGCTCATAGTGCGTCTAATATGGATTTTGAGGGGCTAAAGAACATGAAAACTGCTGCTTTTGATGTTAATGCTTGTAGTACGACTAATTTGTGTTTGGATGGACAACATGGGCTAAAGAACATGAAAAGTGGCGTGGTTAGTGGGATTATGAGTTTAATCAAAGAGTCGAATATTTCCCTAATTAAAGACCAGATTAAAGACTAAATATCCTTAATATTTGGATAAATTATATGTTATATATTATACAATATTAAAATTTATAAATTAGTCTCTAAAATTATACCTAAATTCATAATGGTCCAAAATTTAATAGATATTTAGATGGGTGGGCGGATGTGGGGCAGGCGGATGCGGGGCGGGCGGATGCGGGGCGAGTAATGTCTCAAACCCATTACCCGCCCACCACCCACGACGGGTACCACTTTATAAATCTACGCCCGCCCACTACCCACTAAAATTATACCAATCCCCGCTCCAATTAGAGCGGATGCGATGCAAAATCTACGAAACTGTACTCGTTTGACATCCCTATTATGAAGTTGTATATTATAAAGTCTTAATGTGTTTTAGTAGGATTATATAAGATGTTATTTGATCGTGTGTCGACAATCATTATTAAAGTTTTTAGAGATTTCATTATATGCGTATTCGAAATATAATAAATATGATATTTGAAGTTTCTTAATTATTTTTATATATTTAAATTTATATTTTCGTCTATGTCATCCAATAAATCATGATAACCATAATATTAATTAAAGTAAACGTCAAACCCAAACGTGAATTAGGTGTGATCGGTCGTCTCATCTCTCCCACAGCCCCAAAACTTTGAACGCTTCTCCAAATCTCCAGCAGATCACGGTCTGATAAAAGTCACGTGACAGAGAACCCCACTTTGACAGTGGAGCAAAAATCTTTTATAATTTCTTCTTTCTACGAGGAACTTCCGCATCCTTTGCACGCGTAGTAACCACGCTTGGCCTACCATTTCCACTCTCCAGAACTAATTTAAAAAAGAAGAACAAAAGAGCCTCCGTCGTTCAAACCCTTTCTTGCTCTTCGTCGCTTCAATCGGATCAAATCCACGATGCGAGAAATCAAAGTTCTCAAAGACAGAAAAGAAAACATGCCAATTTATCTGTTTTTCCAGAAATAAGTATAGAATTATGATTTCTTAGCTACTCCTTCCCCTTATTTCCCCCCTTTCATTAACCTAACCTAACCCTAGCTTTTTCTTCTTCTTTTTGGTTTACTATTTTTTATTCGTTGTTTTTTCTCGGTTTAAAATTAATACGGAACTCTAGATCCTTTTGATCTTTTTTTTACTTGATCGAAATTTCGATGTCTATCGACTGTCGTTGTCTATTCGGTGTTTAGTGTCGCCACATAATTTCCTCGCTTTTTTTATTTGGGGGATTTTTCTAACTCAGGATTTCATATTATAGTTAGAGTTTGGATTTTTTTTCTGTACTTATTTTAAGTTGGATCGATGGAGCCTCGTGTCGGCAATAAGTTTCGGCTTGGTCGCAAGATCGGTAGCGGCTCTTTTGGAGAGATCTATCTGGGTTCGTTACAGTTTCTCATTTTTTTGTGCCTGATTTTGAGTTTAGTTTGGTGTTTATTTTTCTCTCTCTCTTTGTAGGTACAAACATTCAGACAAATGAAGAGGTTGCCATCAAGCTTGTAAGCAGTCCTTGCTTAATACTGACTTCTCTGTCTATAATTCTATATATATATCTTTAAGTTTTGTGCATTACCACCGCTTATGTTTGATTGCTTGTTTATAACTGTAATTTGTTGTATTTTAATGTTCAATAAAAGAGCAATGTAGTCACAATTCTTGCTAGGTTTTAAACCAAGCTGGGGTTATTGGCTTTCATGTTTAATCAATTTTCATTCATTGATAACTTAGTGACGCATTTGATTCATAGGCTCATGGCACACATTGAAATTACTGTAGAGATATGCTATTGTTTAGTTAGTTGGATCCTAGTCAAACGTTTTCAGATGGTGAAATTCTAGTCCAATGTATAAGAGGGGTTCAAATGTAATTTACTGGAACTGCTCAGCGGGAAAATGGATAATCCAAGACTTAATTAAGCTTTAATATGGTAGGATCATAATATTTCATCAAAAGGAGTATAAAAATTTGGTCATAAGTTATATTTCTTTCTATTTTCTGATAGTTTGATGTTATAATTTGGGTCAAGAAGTATATTCTATGTGGTTACTTTCCTTCATGGTTTTAATTACCAATTTACCATTGTGTGTATCCATTATTTTCTTGATTTTTGGTGTGAACTGAATTCATTAATGTTAAATCAATGATACAACCTTCATTTCAAATTACATGATTAATAATTTTCTACTTTAATTGGTGGTTCGATTCAATTATTATAAAATTTGATGTTATGCACGCATTTCTTTCTTATATTTTGTTTTGATAGTGATTTTCTCTATGTTGCGGTTGTTTAAAGTTTTAACCATGGCATATTCTTTTTTCGTACATGAGGAAGTGACAACGTTTATCTATTTTTAAATAACCAGGAAAACGTGAAGACAAAGCATCCTCAGTTGTTATACGAATCAAAGTTATACAGGATCCTGCAGGGAGGAAGTAATGATACTTTCAGTTATTTTGCCTTTCAAGAACATAGATTGTTGTTTCAACTTCAAGATTTTTTATAACATATTTATATATCATACTGTTTCATATGATTGCAACTGTTGACTTCTCTCCATCTTGATCTTTTTTCGTGGCAGCTGGGATCCCGAATGTAAGATGGTTTGGAGTTGAGGGAGACTATAATGTACTGGTTATGGATTTACTTGGACCTAGTCTTGAAGATCTATTTAATTTCTGCAGTAGGAAACTTTCCTTGAAGTCAGTTCTCATGCTTGCAGATCAAATGGTAGTTTTGTAGAATTTGATACATTTTCTACTTAAGTTATTTTTCCTTTAATTTATTGCAACATCATGCTGTATTTCTCTCCCCAGATCAACCGTGTCGAATTTGTTCATTCAAAATCATTCCTACATAGAGATCTTAAGCCAGACAATTTTCTTATGGGTTTAGGAAGGCGTGCAAATCAGGTTTGCGTTTTCTCATCAAATTATTTTATTTGTTTTATATTACTGCACATTTTAATGTATTATTACTTTTCACTTAATTGTAGGTCTACATCATTGATTTTGGCTTGGCTAAGAAATATAGAGACCATTCAACTCATCAGCACATTCCTTACAGGTGAGAACTTTGCAGGCATGTGAGCTATCGTATTCTACATGGTGTTTGAAAGGCCTGGATTTGCACCTCTCTTTCCCTCTTTTTAGATTGGTTTTTTCTAATCACTTGTTTCACATCTTCTTCATTGGTTTATTAGTATGGCTAGTCATTTAAAGATTATTCTCTTGGTTGGACCTTTATTGTTCAACACGTGCTAATAATTGGTAGAGTTGGTGCACCATCATCTTCAAAAGAGTCCACTTTTGATGGATCATTTTTGTTTATGATTAACCTTAGACATACTCTCCTTATTTTAATTTTCTTTTTACTAACTTATTGATTTTTAGTTTGTGGTGAATGTTCAAAGCCAAGTCCTTATACTTTACCTGGTCATGATGATCTCAGGGAAAATAAAAATCTGACTGGAACTGCGAGATATGCAAGCATGAATACGCACTTGGGCATTGGTATTTATGGTCAACTTTTTTGGAAAATGTCACATTTGATACCTGTACTTTGACAAAATGTCCAATATGGTACTTGTTCTTTTGAAATGTCTAATGTGGTACCTGTATTTTGATAAAAATCCAATGTGTACTTGAACTATCATTATGTGTATTATTATAGTACTTGTTAATTTTCGTTGATGGATTTGTCACTTATTGACTGTTGACCCAAGTTCCATAATAGTACACAAAATAATAGTTCAGGTACAACACTTACTAACGGTGTTAACCCAGGTACCATAGTAATACACAAAACGATAGTATGTTCCAAAATTGGATATTTTGTCAAAGGACAAGTCCCACATTGGACATTTTAAAAGTACAGGTACAACATTGGATATTTTGTTAAAGTACAGATACCAAATGTGATATTATCCCACGATTTTTTTGGTCGTGTCTTTTCTTTTTTGAGGTATATACTGCTTTTTTGCTCGTCTTAATTCTGATTCTATCATTTGGTTCCATGTAGAGCAAAGCCGTAGGGATGATTTAGAATCTCTTGGATACGTGCTTATGTATTTTCTAAGAGGAAGGTGAATCTTGCTACTTATGCTACTTTCGTTTGTCAAGTGTTCACTATTTAATAGTTTTCATTATCAATGCATCTTCTCTGGACAGTCTTCCTTGGCAAGGTTTGAAAGCAGGAAATAAGAAACAGAAATACGAGAAAATTAGTGAGAAGAAGGTTTCTACTTCAAATGAGGTAAGGATATATTTTCTGTGAAGGGATTGTTTTGGTAATGGAAAGATGTAGATGTCTGTCTTAGAGTTCTTCTGATTGCACATTCGAAATTGTGACTAAAGATTGATGCTGTTTCAGGCCTTGTGTCGAGGTTATCCAACAGAATTTGCATCATACTTCCATTATTGTCGTTCACTAAGATTTGATGATAAGCCAGACTATGCTTATCTCAAAAGAATCTTTCGTGACCTCTTTATTCGTGAAGGTTTGATCATTTACATTTTTAGCTGTGGATGCTGTCAACTTATATAAAATCCATGAATCATGATAGTGAGTTCACATCTTTTATTGTTCTTGTTGATTCTTACAAAACAGGCTTCCAGTTTGATTATGTATTTGATTGGACCATTTTGAAGTATCAACAATCACAGCTTGCAACTCCTCCAGCTCGAGCCCTTGTGAGTGCCCAGTAGGATTCATTTATTTACTTATTCTTTCTGGTAGTAGTTAGTATGAAATGTAAGTTTGTAATGCTTGTCTGTATTAGGGCCCTGGTGTTGGAACAAGTTCTGGCTTGCCCCCTGCTAGTGCAAATGCTGACAAGCATGCAGGTAATAAGCGTTCCACATGAGTACACCGGCAATATTATTCCTTTCCCAATTTTTAAATAAAAACCCTCTTTGATTTTCATAATTGGACAAAATTATCCAATCCATTTCTTTGAAGTTGAAATATAAATTTTTGCTTAGAATAACAGCATTTGCAACTCTTGGTCGCACAGCTGGGCAGGACGGGCGAGCAGCTGGTATGTCACCGATGGATTCCTCTCGGCGAAGGACATCATCAGGACCCTTGATGTATTCTGGAAATTATGCAAAGCAGAAGAATCCAATCCCAAATGATCCTGCAACTAAAGACTATGCAGTAAGTATTTTTTTTAGAAGTTTATGATTATTCAAAACTATATAGTCATTTAAGATCTGTCAGTAGTCTTGCATTCTACATACTATTTTGCTTTCTTTTCATTTATGATATATCTCTAGGTTTCTTTTGTGCTGATACATGGGTTGACTGATACTTTACATATGATTATATGTTGATAGTTTTTCCATCAGTTCTATGTCATCTACTGGTCATTTTATATTAGTATTAGTGCATGTATGCACTGTTATCAAATTGGATAGTTCTGAACTAGTACAAGTTCCTCTATACATTTTGATTTTTTAACATTGCAATTGCATATTTTATTCCATCATTGTATTTTATTGCAATTTGGGTTTTACGTGGGTGAAGTTTATGGGGCAGTCCGGTGGATCCTCTTCAAAAAGAGCTAGCGATCGTGAAGCAGTTGCTGGAAGTGAGTTTGACCCACAACGTTCTCGTACAACTGATGCTAGCCCTGGAAAGATGCACAGACATTTAAATCAGCAGCGTAAACCTGTTGAATCTTCTTCCAACTCTAAACAGGCAATGTCTGGAAGAAATACCAAGAACTACGAGTCTGCCCTCAAGGGGATCGAGGGCCTTCAATTCGAGAGTGACGAGAGACATCATTATTAAAATGGTCAGATATAGGAATTTGGTTAAGTGTGAAGTGGTGGGTGTTTTGTCCTTGTTGGTGGGCTGAGTTGGAAGGAATTTGCAAAAAGTTTGAGCTCTCGTGTTCTGCACCCAAAGCATACATTTCTGGAAGTGAAATTTGGCCGACATTGCCATCTAAAATGTTGGTTGCTTGTTAAGGGCTATTATTATGGTGTTGCTATTTTCCGACGCTTTTTAACTTGCTCTTTTATGGTGGCGCCCCTTTCTTTCATCTTAAGATGGTTGATTTCTCACTTGTCTGCGACTTCTCGGGGTTTGAAACATTGACACTGTAAATTTATTGCCACTCTTCTTACCTTTTCCTTCACAATATTAGTTTGTTTTGCTTTGTTTCGTTGTGTACCATTTCAGTTCTCATTTATTAGATCACCATTTATACCGCAACAATCTTGGAATCTATAGTACAAAGACTAACGTTGTTCCAAATCGTGTTTAATAATTCAGACTGCATACATTCTTAAGAGGTAGCAGTAGCAGAGTAGACTAAATGGAGCAAGCAACGAGTCTTTACCACTACACATAAACAACCCTAGAGCCACCTGAAACTCTTCTTGGCACAATATCCAGACCAATTATTAGTGGACTTTCCCTTTTTGATTTGAATTTGGCATCGTTATTTTCACCTGGGTCTGCCCTTGTCTCACTGTTAATAACTGAGATCTTTCATGCTGTGGAACCATTCTCGGGGCAATTTTAGTCCAATACCATAGGTGGGTTAGTTATTACGATATTTGCTACAGTAATTTGAAATTCGTTACGTCGAGATTCAAATTACTTTGTTACGTCGAGATGATAAGTTTTAATAAAAAAAATGTTTTTTATTTAAAATTTTTATTCCGATAAAATAAAATTTAATTAAAAGAATTATATTTTATTAGAATTCGTTATTTTAACGTGATGAATTTGAATAAAAAAATATTATTTAGATAAAATCATCATCTCGATGTGATCGAATTCCTTAAATATTAAAAAATATCGTAAATTCTAAAATAAACTTTTTATATACCCTCCGGACTAATTAATAAAACTATTTGTCCTGTAGGGGAAAACCCGACCATTCTCGTATGACGAATTGGGTCGTTATAGCTCTCTATCTGCCGCATTTTTTTCTCGCTCGTAGGATGCTCAGCTTTTTAGTGACTGTGTCCAAAAGCTGAAAGTGGTGGTTAAATGCCAATAAAGCCGAACGACGCCGTTCCTGTACACAGAAAAACGGGACAGTAGTACAAGAATCATTTGAACCTATTAGGTTCGACCGGCTTTAAGGGAAAAAGGAAAAGCCGCCGCTCTAGCTTTGTTTAATATTATGAGTAAACTACATTAGATACCACTGAACTTAGGTATTGTATTGGTTATACCATTGAATTTCCAATTTTGTCAATTATACCAACAAACTTTGATTTTTGTTTCAATTATACCACTAAATTGTTAAATCATTAACGATATGATTATGTATCTGATGGCTGTCGATATGGATAATGGCTGCCAACATTGACATCTCACCAAAACAATGTTATTTTGATCTGACTGTTAACAATTGAGCTGCCCAGTGGTATGAATGATACAAAAATCAAAATTTAATGCTATAATTGATAAAAGTTAAAATGTAGTGGTATAAACAATACACCACCTAAAGTTCAATGCTATTTTATGTAGTTTACTCTAATATTAAACAAAAAGGAAATTACAATTTTCTATTTTCCGTATTCACCAATGAAAGCGTGTGTTTTTTGTATATCGGTCTCCATTGGCGAGGTCTTGAAGAATAGTCTTAAAAAACCCCAAATATTATCCCTTTGCCTAAACTAAATCAAGCGAAATATAATCCTTCTGTTGCTTCGGCTTTGAAGATCTGGTTCATCTGAGTCTATATTTTTCTTGCCGATATCTGCCACAACATTTCCCAGAGTCATAATCTGATTTACTTACTTCCTTCGAAACCGTGTAAGTTACGTTTTTCTCATTTACTTTTCAGCGTATTCTGCAGATCTGTTGTTCCATTATATAATCTTGCAATTTTTTGTTTGATCTCGTTTCAATAGATTTATTTGGTAGCTGGAAGCTAATTGGAGTGTAACAAATTCTGTAGTTTTAGGATATATTCTGCTATTTCTGTGCTTCATTTCTCTTCTTTATTAGTTTACAATTTGGGCATACATATGGAGATTTTTTCTATTGATTCAGGTACCGGAATATCTTCTGGGCGTGTTAACGTAGCTGAAATTATTTGATTGCCTTAAATGAGTGAAAAAAATTCACCTCCTGGGTCACCCAAACAAAACCCAGATCAGAATTTGGAGACTAACCCATTACCCACAGATGATAACTCGCTGGAAACCATTGTTCGAAAGATTCAGGATTCCATGTCCTTACCCAAGAGACACAAGTTCTGGGAAACTCAACCTGTTGGTCAATTTAAGGATGTTGGGGACACAAGTTTACCTGAGGGATCTATTGAACCCCCCACCCCATTGTCTGAAGTGAAACAGGAACCTTATAACCTTCCAAGTCCATATGAATGGACCACCTGTGATATGGATTCAGAAGAGACTTGTACCGAGGTTTATAATCTTTTGAAGAATAATTATGTCGAGGATGATGAGAATATGTTTAGGTTCAATTACTCCAAGGAGTTTCTTGGCTGGGCTCTGCGCCCTCCTGGTTACTATAAGAGCTGGCACATTGGGGTTCGTGCTAAGGCTTCAAAGAAACTTGTTGCTTTCATTACTGGTATCCCCGCAAGAATAAGGGTGCTGAATGAAGTTGTGAAGATGGCCGAGATTAATTTCTTGTGTGTTCATAAGAAGCTGAGATCGAAAAGACTTGCGCCCGTGATGATTAAGGAGGTTACTAGGAGAGTTCATTTGGAGAATATTTGGCAGGCAGCATACACCGCCGGAGTTGTTCTTCCAACACCAATAACTACTTGCCAGTATTGGCATCGGTCGTTGAACCCCAAGAAACTTATTGATGTTGGCTTTTCTAGGCTTGGGCCTAGGATGACAATGAGCCGAACCATTAAACTCTACAAGTTACCTGATTCTCCAGCTACCCCTGGGTTCAGAAAGATGGAGCTTCGCGATGTCCCTGCTGCTACCAGGTTGCTGAGAAACTACTTGAGCCAGTTTGTTGTTTCTCCAGATTTTGATGAGAATGATGTGGAGCATTGGCTGCTTCCTACTGAGGGGGTCGTGGATAGTTACTTGGTTGAGAGCCCAGAGACACATGAGGTTACCGACTTCTGCAGCTTCTACACGCTTCCCTCATCAATTCTCGGCAACCAGAACTATTCCATTTTGAAAGCTGCCTATTCTTACTACAACGTCTCCACTAAAACTCCATTGCTTCAGCTGATGAATGATGCTCTTATTGTTGCTAAGCAGAAGGATTTTGATGTTTTCAACGCACTTGATGTCATGCATAATGAGCCTTTCCTCAAAGAGCTGAAATTTGGACCTGGTGATGGGCAACTTCACTACTACCTCTATAATTATCGGATACGAAGTGCTTTGAGACCATCAGAACTTGGTCTTGTACTCCTATAGTTTGGCATCCTTCAGCTTTGTTCTTGCATTTTTGTTTCCGAATTAGGTCTGGATTGCATCATATTAATTGTCCCTCTGCCATCCGCAGCCGAGGATTCGGTTTGCTCTGGATGCAAGAGCAGCCTTTGTTGTCCTTGTGAGCTTTAATTTCCTAGGCAAATACAATATTGCCGTTGACAATGCACGTTGTTCAATGGATGTCAATAATGTTGAGCTTTTGATTGTGGTTTACTTAGTTTCTGTAATGTTCTTGCAGTTTTCCGTTGTTTTTTTGCTTATTTTCCTTGTTGCTTTATTATTTTCATCAACGATTAAACAAAGCTGCTACAGCGCTGTTGTTTCATTAGTTTATAGGGTACTTAAAATTTGATTTATATTTTGATGTAGGAGAGTGAGTAAAACTTGATTAGAAAATTTTGATTTTTTAAAATTTTTTAAGTTATTTGACTCGAGTCTCTCGAGCTATTCGGATTTTTATCCAAATTTCTAGTTTAGGTTGATTTTGAAATTATGTATACTATTTACATTTATAAATTATACATACCCGTGCTCGACATTCACACGTAATTTAATGTTGAGATTATGTATCCTTCTGTATTATAATTATATTTTGGGTTTTATATGTTTTTATATAAAATTTGATTAAAAATATTTTATATTTACAAGGTATATGTTTCAAATGAAATTTGAGTTAAAAATAATCTATATTACATAAAATTTGATTCCTTAATTGTATGATATGTTTATGTTGTACAAGTGTATTTTGAATATTTTAAAAATAAAATTATACAACATTAAATATAATATTAATTATTTTTACCAATAGAGTATGAAATAATATTTTTATATAGTCTTGTAATAAATCAACCATCTTCACGTGAATGATGTTTTTATTTTAATATAATGTATTTTTTCTTCAAATTCGCATGAAAAATGAAATAATTATGGACTAATTATTTCTAAAAAGATGATGTAAAAGAAGGGGAAAATCGATTTTAAACTAAAACGACGGAGTTTAACCTTAGCGGGTTAGAAACGTAGATAGGGGTTTGGCTTTCCTAGAGATTTGACCAACCTCTATCGCCCACGTGGAAAGAAAGTAATGACAGTGGAACATCTCAACAATTAAATCACACCAGACAAACTCCTCCCCTATCCGTCCCCTGATCTTCCCTATATACGGCAGAACGTAAGGCAAAAAAAAAAAAAAAAAAATTATTCAGAAGGAGCAACAAAGAAAATAAACGCAAACAAGAAGCCGGTTTTAGTTAAAAATTGTAGAGTTGGTTGCACTTAAAGAAAACAAAGATTCATGCTTTTTGTTCCATGTTTCTGTTAGTTTCGAAGGTGATGGTAATGGAGTGTGTTGGAGCTCGGAACTTCGCCGCAATTGCAGTTCCTACGTGTGCCTTGTGGAGGAGAAGCCTGACGAGGACTAAAATAGCGTTTCCGACTCATCATCGGTCTATTTCCCTTAAGGTGAGAGCTATTGGAGCCAGCAGCGAGAGCTGCGTTGCGTTCAAGGAAGACTTCGCCGACGAAGAAGATCTCATAAAGGCCGGTGGCTCTGAGCTTCTCTTCGTTCAAATGCAACAGAATAAGGAAATGGATAAACAATCCAAATTAGCGGATAAGGTTTTTTTCCACTTTGCTCCCTTCGATTTTCATTTGTTGGAAACTAGAATAACTTTCTTTGTTTTTTTTTTTCTGCTTGTTAAAATGGAGGGCACAATAGTAAATGAAATATGAGATATACTTATCAAGACCATGACATGTGAGGGTCACGTGCATCTAGTCAATAGTAGTTACTTGGAGAAGCTGGATAACAAAATCTGTGGAAAAGGAACTTCACATTTTACTAGTGGGTTTACTGCTTCGTAGGAATTTCCTTCTCTTAAACATGTATATTTTCACAGTTACCGCCTATATCAATTGGAGAGAACGTGCTGGACCTTGTGGTCATTGGTTGTGGTCCAGCCGGTCTTGCTCTTGCTGCTGAGTCGGCTAAGTTGGGTTTAAATGTTGGACTAATTGGCCCTGATCTTCCTTTCACCAACAATTATGGGGTCTGGGAAGATGAGTTTAAAGGTATCGTTTCAGTTTCTAAGCAATTTACGGAAGATGTTCATCACAATCAAATCAACATGTAAGTCAATCTAATGACATTCTCAGATCTTGGACTTGAAAGATGTATTGAGCATGTTTGGCGGGATACCATTGTATACCTTGATGATGATAAGCCTATTATGATCGGTCGTGCTTACGGACGCGTTAGTCGACACTTGCTTCACGAGGAGTTGTTGAGGAGGTAACTTATGATCCTTTTTCTCCAGGTTATTATTTCTTCTATATTGCCTACCAACGATGTTTAATTTGTATTAGTTTTCCATAGGTGTGTTGAGTCAGGTGTAATGTATCTTAACTCAAAAGTAGAGACAATTGTTGAAGCTACCGATGGTCATAATCTCGTGGCTTGTGAACACAATCGTGTTGTTCCATGCAGGTAAGATAATTTCTATTTCCTCTACTGCCATTTGTAAACTTTAACCTTTTAATATCACAACTCCTTTCAAGCTCCTAATGTGTTATTCTAGGCTTGTTACTGTTGCTTCAGGAGCAGCTTCAGGTAAATTGTTGCAATACAAGGTAGGGGGTCCGAGAGTCTCCGTTCAAACAGCTTATGGCATCGAGGTTGAGGTATGTGTGATATGTGAACTTCAATCGTCGATGATCATATATCTTATTAGCTGTTTAAGAAGGTGGTGGGAGAAAAAAGTTCTGAACTTCTTACTATATCAGGTGGAGAACAATCCTTATGATCCCAGCCTGATGGTTTTCATGGATTATAGAGACTATGCTAAACAAGAAGTTCCAGCTTTAGAAGCACAATATCCGACATTTCTTTATGCCATGCCCATGTCTTCAACGAGAGTTTTCTTTGAGGTTTGTGCGACATGCAATCAATTTTGTTTATTGTTCATGTTGTATCCCATGATAACATGCAGAATGATTCGGAGTTGATGATCTGCAGGAAACCTGTTTGGCTTCAAAAGATGCCATGCCTTTTGATTTATTAAAGAAGAAGCTCATATCAAGGTTAGAGACCATGGGAATCCGGATTTTAAAAGTTTATGAAGAGGTAAACTGCATTCCTTATTAAGATGCCAGATTGGTGCAATGTTTAACCCATTCCATTATAATGTATGTATTACTTTATATTGTTGCTCAGGGCCAAAATAGGGTGTCATGTCGGTCATCTCCTTGCCATTTTATAAATTAAGTAGCCTCCATGATCATTGATTAGCTAAGCCTCTTTCATATTCGAGGATGGCAACGGGTCAGATCGGGCTGGGTTTTTGGCAGACCAAACCTGACCCGATACCTATCCAACATATCCATATTCCAACTGCATCGTGAAGTAACATGCGTTGAATGCCTACATTAGTTAGCAAGATGCCATTTTCTTGGATACAAAATATAGTTCAAAAGTGTTGCAATCTTATGCAGGAGTGGTCTTACATCCCAGTTGGCGGTTCCTTACCGAACACAGAGCAGAAGAACCTTGCATTTGGTGCTGCTGCAAGCATGGTGCATCCTGCTACTGGTAAGAATTGGGTTCAATAGATATTTCCTTCAATATCTGAATTGATACCCGCCAATCTAAATCTTCATAAGCAGGCTATTCGGTTGTCAGATCATTATCAGAGGCTCCAAATTATGCTTCTGTAATTGCAAATATCCTAAAGAAGGATTCTAATGGCTTGCATACCAGTGCAAGAAACAATGGGAACATCTCAATGCAAGGTATGATGTTTGATTTATCCCCTTTTCCTCTCAACTTCACTGTTTTAAGGGTTACTAACCAAGTTCTTTCATCTTAAGTAACACCGCCGTATTAGCAACCATAATTTAATTTTTCATGCAAATGACATATGCATAGGCAGGTATGCATATGTTTATATATGTGCATCAGATACTTCAATGATTTTTTCAAGAGTAATCCGATGAATATCCAAAGTACCCTCAAGGAAACTCAGTGAATGGCATCACCTTCTTATGATGTGTTATTCTAATATGGTTCAGCTTGGAATACTCTTTGGCCACTAGAAAGGAAACGTCAGAGGTCCTTCTTTCTCTTTGGACTAGCACTCATACTGCAACTAGACATCGAAGGCATTCGAACGTTCTTCCATACATTCTTCCGTTTGCCGAGTTGGTATGATCGAACTGTTCTCTTTGCACAACCCCACCCAAGTATTCAATTTTTAAACTCGAGACCGAGAAGCATAACTTCATGAATGAACAGACCAATTATTCAGCAGTATAAAAGAAACAATGCTTGACTAGCCTGATGCATTTTATCGCAGGATGTGGCAAGGATTTCTTGGTTCTACTCTTTCCTCTGCCGATCTCGTCCTGTTCGCGTTTTATATGTTCGTCATAGCGCCTAACGATATGAGAATGTCCCTTGTGAAGCACTTGATGTCGGATCCAACAGGAGCAACTATGATAAGAACATATCTCACTATATAGTACCTTTTGTATTACTTACCTCGTTTTGATTGTGCTTTTCAGTTGCTATTCCTAGCTAATCCACCATGAAAATAAATAGGCATTGTATATTATTCATACTTCTGCATGAGTATCTTCTTTGGTTAAAATACAATGCACATTTTTGTTCGTAAGCTTGTATATAATGTTATGCACGTATCTATTGACCTAATATACTTGAACAGCATTTAACTTGTACTGTATTTTTCCTTCAGCAACCTATCAGGGTTCATGTTCTTGTGGATTGTTCACTACTTCCCGATCATTCACTGACCTTTGACAGATTTAAAAAATATGTATGATGTGGGAGTTTATGGATGGATGCTGGATTGCTCCTCTAAACTCTTTCCTCAAGTCTGCTCTTTTCTACCGAGCACATTGAGTTCTTTTATCCATGGATTTCGTTACCCCTATAAACACTGTTGCAGCCAGCCTATTACGAGGGGTGTCATTAATTTTTTTTAAAATTATTTTTTTTATAAATTTAATATAAAATACTGGTACTTTTATACATAAATTGACCCTCATTATTCATTTTCATCCACTAAAAATATTCATTATACAATTTCTTATTTTGACACCCTAATATATATATATATATATATATATATAAAATTTGACATCTCAAAATAAATTTCTAACTGGTCTCTGCCTCTAAAAACGATCTGCGTTGTAAAATAAAAAATAAATTAAAGAAAAAAAAACACTCCCTAATATCATCCTCAACATTATTGGCATGACTAGGTAAATATTAGACAAAACAATAATGAGAATTAGAAACATTAAACGTTAATAATTTCACATGAAGACTTTTCTTTTGATTGAACAGTAATTTTGTTGAGGAGACGGATTACCTTTACCTGATAATGTATTGAAGGGCCAGCACTCGCCCTTCAATAATGAAAAGAAGAGCAACACAATTGTGTAGCACAGCCGTTGGCCATGGATTTCTCCACCAAAAAGCAGCTTCATAATTCGTGCATTAATTTGATCCGGTTAAGGGCGGATTTACGTGTAGTTTACTGTAGTTAATTGACCCATTTGAATCTAAAGACCACTTTAAAAAGCTGAAAACTTGAATAAAAACCCCAGAACCTCTCATCATTTCTTCAAAAGACCAAAGTTCACTTTGCTGGTTCAATATTAGCTATAACTTGGTTGTAGTAAACATCTTATTGTTTTGATGCAACCCAATAATCTCAGCAAAAGCTCATGTCCTGTTGGAAAACTCTACACACTGCTTAAAAAAGCAGTAATATGACAGAAGAGAGTGACCATATACGGTTCTTCTTGTTTGAGGGGCTCACGCTTGAAGTTTTATGTGCTTTCATTTCTTTTTCACCCACCTCTCTCTATGTGCATACGAAGGATAGATATAAGATTTTATATTAATATTGAATTATATAATTTTAGGATAGACGAATATATAAAATTTAAAAAAAAAGAAATTAGATTATTAAGAGGAAATATATATATATATATATATATATATATATATTTAAAGAAAAAGTGATTGTTCTCGCTCACTTTCCCTTTGATCTATTTTGTGTGCATACATGTATTGATTATACACAAACAATAATTGAGAATTAAAAACGTTGAGAATAATAATTGAGAATTAAAAATGTTAGGCATAACAATAATTGAGAATTAAAAACATTGGACATAGCAATTATTGAGAATTAAAAACATTGGACATAGCAATTATTGAGAATTAAAATGTTAGGCATAAAAATAATTGAGAATTAAAAACATTGGACATAGCAATTATTGAGAATTAAAAACATTAGAGTACCAAAAACATTATACAGAAGGAGATTTTTTTATTGATTGAACGGCAATTTTGTTGACCAGACGGATTACCTTATCCTAATAATACATTGAAGGGCCAGCATTGGCTCATCTTTACCATAAAAACTCCAGGCTTGTTTCTACCGAATAAAGAAGAAGAGAGCAAAACAATTGTGTAGCACAGCAGTTAGCCATGGATTTCTCCACCAAAAAGCAGCTTCATATAGCAGTGTTCCCATGGCTAGCTTATGGTCACATCGCCCCATTTCTCCATGTCTCCCAATTCTTAGCTCAAAAGGGTCACCGTATTTACTATCTCTCCACCCCTAAGAACATCAGCCGCCTCCCTGTGCTTCCTCCCAATCTCCGATCCAACATTAGCTTTATACCTCTTTCTTTACCTCATGTTGATGGCCTGCCACCGGGAGTAGAGTCCACCTCCGAGTTGCCCATCCAAAAGGTCCCTTTCCTCAAAAAAGCACACGACAAGCTTGAAACTCAGTTGGCCGAGTTCCTTAGAAGGTCACCGCAAGTTAAACTAATCATCCACGACTTTTGTCCGTACTGGTTAGTGCATGTGGCCACTCAACTCGGCATCAGCTTAGTTTTTTTCAGCATTTTAAGTGCTTCAACAAACGCTTTCTTTAGATCCCCATCAGATATGCTGGGTAAAACTAGACGGTCAGCCGAAGATTTCACGGTGGTCCCAGTGTGGATGGATTATCCTAATAACATAGCTTTCAAGCTCCATGAATGGGCAAGTCACCAAGAGTGTGAGGATACTATATCCGATTTAGAACGGGTCGAGACAATTCTTCTAAATTGCAAAATTCTGGCCGTGAGAAGCTGCTATGAATTAGAACCTGAGGCGCTTAGTGTGCTTAGTAAGATACACCAAATACCAGTTGTTCCACTTGGACTGCTACCGCCGTCACTGTCCGGTATAGAAGATGAAGGAGATGAAAACTGGGAAGCCTTGAAGAAATGGCTTGATAGTAAGCAAGACAAGTCCGTTTTTTACGTCGCACTGGGTAGTGAAGTGTGTCTGAGTCGAGAGTTAATGCATGAGTTGGCATATGGGATAGAGAAATCCGAGTTACCATTTATTTGGGTGGTGAGGAAACCCCCTTTCGTTGAAGCTGAACAATCGGTGGAGGACATGATCCCACCGGGGTTCGAAGAGCGAGTTTCGGATCGGGGTTTGATTGTATGAGGCTGGGCACCTCAACTCCGGATATTGGCTCACTCCTCGGTCGGTGGTTTCTGTTAGGAAAATAAACCGAGTACAAGTAATTTCCCTATAACCAGATTAGTGAGAATGCAAAATAAAAGCGGAAAAATAATACCCGAAAATTGATAACGGAGTTCAGCCAATTGTGCTTACGTCTCCGGGCTGCTGCAGATCTTTTACTAAGAGAGAAAATTTACAGGTGTTTACAAAACACTCACTACTCACAAGAAAACTCTCTAGTATATGAAGAAAGAAATGTTTTGGGATGATTTTGAAGCTAAATGGGTAAGGGTATTTATAGTAGAAACTTAGGGACTAATCTTTGAAAATACCCTAAAGTGCAATGACTAAAGTGAATTTACCCATTCCTATTTTCAACAAACATCTACCAAAATTTTACCAAACTTTGAAAAACATTTTTCAAAGAAACATTTACCAAACTTTGAAAAAACATTTTCCAAAGTTGGTTGCCAAACTTTGAAACTTTTAACAATCTCCCACTTGAAGACTAATTTTAATATGTCTTCACACCTCGATCAATGCAGCAGCATGTCTGGTCTTGTTATTCTAGCATGCCAACTGAAGCTGAACACAACTTCAGTTTGTCCGTAGTCACCGTCTTTGTCAACATGTCTGCCGGATTTTGAGCTCCACTAATCTTTTCAAGTTTCAAAATCCCATCTTCCAAAGAGACCGGATAAAATGATATCTCAATTGTATGTGCTTTGTCCTGGAATGAAAAGACGGATTCTTTGCTAGATGGATAACACTTTGACTGTCGCAATACAAGATATTGTTTTCTTGTTTCTTGCCTAACTCTTCCAAGAAACTTTGGAGCCAAACCATCTCCTTGCTGGCTTCCGTAACAGCGACATATTCTGCTTCAGTTGTGGAGAGAGCAACTATCTTCTGTAGTTGAGAAACCCAACTCACTGCAGTTCCTCCTAGAGTATAGACATACCCTGTAGTGCTCCTTCTGATGTCGACATTTCCGGCTAAGTCAGCATCTACATAGCCTGTCAGTATCTATCTCCACCTTTGAAACAAAGTGCTTTGTTTGTGGTACCCCGAAGATATCTGAGGATCCATTTGACTGCTTCCCAGTGTACCTTGCCCGGATTATTCATGTACCTGCTAACAGCTCCTACTGCATGAGCAATATCTGGTCTGGTACAAACCATGGCATACATCAGACTTCCAATTGCTGAGGCATACGGCACCTTCACCATGTGTGCACGTTCTTCCTCCGTCTTTGGTGATTGGTCTTTGGAGAGTCTTAAATGAACACCTAAAGGTGTACTTACTGTTTAGCATCTTGCATGTTAACCTGGAGAGTACTTTGTTGATGTACTCAGCCTGTGATAACATCAAAGTCCCCGACTTTGTGTCTCTCTTGATCCTCATCCCAAGAATCTGCTTTGCAGCGCCCAGATCCTTCATAGCAAACTGCTTCGACAATTTTTGCTTCAAGTGTATAATCTCTTGCATGTCTGAGCCTGCAACAAGCATGTCATCAACGTACAATAATAAAATAATGAAGTTGTTGTCGAACCTCTTGATGTAGCAACAATGATCTGCTTGACATCTGATAAAACCACTGCTACTCATGAAGCTATCGAACTTCTTGTACCACTGTCTAGGAGCTTGTTTTAAACCATACAAGCTCTTCTTCAACCTGCATACCAGGTTTTTCTTGTCTGCCTCTAGAAGCCTTCTGGCTGCCTCATATAGATTTCTTCCTCCAAATCACCATGAAGGAAAGCTGTCTTTACATCTAACTGCTCAAGATGTAAATTCTCTGCAGCTACAATTTCAACACCAGTCTGATTGTAGAATTTTACGGCTGTAGAGAAAATTTCATTGTCAATACCTTCTTTTTGCTGAAAGCCTTTGACAACCAATCTTGCTTTGTAGCGTTGCTCCCATCGTGCTCTTCTTTGATCCTGTAAATCCACTTGTTGTGGAGCGCTTTCTTGCCTGGTGGTAATTCAGCTAATTCCCATGTCTGATTTGACATAAGCGAGTCCATCTCATCTTTCATGGAAGACTCCCACTTGACTGAATCCTCCACTTGCATTGCTTCATCATAGCACTCTGGTTCACCATTGTCAGTCAGCAACAAGTAGTGTAAAGAGGAGAATATCGTTGGGTTGGTTTAGGAATTCTGGAGGAGCGTCTCAGTTCTGGTGCCTGGTTCTTCTTGAACTGCTTCAGGATTGATCTGAACATCATTTCCAGAAATCTCCTCGAACTCAGCAAATTCCTTTGTTTCAGCTTCGGTATTACTTGATTCTGTGGTTGACCTATCTTTGTACATCACATTTTCATTGAAAATGACGTCTCTGCTTCTGATGATCTTTCGTAGTCCCAAAACCGGTAACCGAACTCATCACCACCGTAACCAACAAAGACGCATTTGTTGGACTTGGCATCAAGTTTACTTCTTTCAGCAGAGTTTATGTGTACATAAGAAATACAAGCAAACACTCTTAAGTGTGAAAGGTTTATTTCTTTCTTGCTCCAAGCTTTCTCTGGTATTCCGCCATCCAAAGGAACTGAGGGCCCACGTTGATCAGGTAAGCTGCAGTGTTGATAGCTTCAGCCCAGAAATTTGGGCAATCCGGCATGTATCCTCATGCTTCTGGCACTTCATTCAGAGTTCTGTTCATGCGCTCTGCTACGCCATTCTGCTGCGGTTATGGGACTGTTGTCTCCATCTTGATCCCATTGTTTGTGCAGAAATCTCTGAAACTACTGTCTCTGTACTCTCCTCCATTGTCAGACCTCAACCGCTTGACTTTCAAACCAGTCTCATTTTCCACCATGGCCTTCCATTTTCTGAAGGTATCAAAGACTTCTGATTTCTTCTTCAGAAAATAACCCACACCTTCCTTGTTGAATCATCGATGAAGGTGACATAATATGAGCCCGCAAGAGATGGAACTGGGGATGGTCCCCATACATTAGTATGAACCAACTCTAACATTTCTGCCTTGGGTGTCTTGCCAATCTTTGCAAAACTGACTTTCTTTTGTTTTCCAAAGATGCAATCCTCGCATAGTCCGACATCTACATTCTTTAGATCCGGCAGCTTTCCTTTTGACAAAAGTGTCTTCATCCCTTTCTCGCTCATATGGCCAAGCCTTTGGTGCCATAGGTTTGATTTTCCATCAGCATCTGCTACTGCAATGATATTCTCTAAATTTGAGGTTACATAGAGAGTACCAGTCTTCTTACCACGAGCAATGACGAGTGCTCCTTTGGTAATCTTCCATTCACAGCCTGAAAAGGTTGTGCTATATCCTTCTCCATCAAGCTGTCTAACAGAAATCAGATTTCTTTTGAGGCCAGGAATATGTCTCACTCCTGTCAGCTTCCAGGTGGTCTGGTTTGGCAACTTTAGTCGGATGTCTCTTTTTCCGACGATCTTTAAGGTTTCATCATCAGCAAGATGAACCTTCCCAAAATCACCACTGACATAGTTCTCCATGATTTCTTGGTATGGGGTGGAGTGGAAAGATGCCCCTGAATCCAAGATCCATGATTCAATCGGACTGTTGACGCTTAGAATCATGGCATCACCTATCTCCTCTGTCACGTTGGCAGATTCCTGTGCACCAGTATCTTTCTTCAGTGCTCGACAATCTCTTTTGAAGTGACCCTTCTTGCCGCAATTATAACAGGTAAAATCTTTATTTCCTGTTCTTGATTTGCCCCTTCTGGATTTTGATCTGCCACGATTTGAATTTCTTCTGAAGTTCTCCCTCTAGACTCGGTGTGCAAGGCTGAGGAGGTTGAGCTTCACCCGATTCTCTTCGTCGAATTTCTTCACTCAAGCATCCCGAACATCGTCGAATTTTAATTTGCTGTTTCCCGACGAACTGCTGACTGCTGTAACAGTAGCATTCCAACTGTCTGGTAGAGATGATAAGAGAATTAAAGCTCGAACTTCATCATCGAACTCAATTTCCACTGAACTCAACTGGGTTGTGATTGTGTTGAGTTCATTTAGGTGTTGTGCCATCGATGCCCCTTCCGCCATCCGCAAATTGAATAATCGCCTCATTCAATGAACTTTGTGTTGAGGCCGATGGCTTCTCATACTACTGGAGAGAGCCGCCATAAGACCCCCCGTGGTTTTTCCTTTGCTATGTTGAAAGCAACATTGCGGGATAACGTCAGTCGGATAACTCCGAGGGCTTGTCGGTCGAGAAGAGCCCAGTCTTAATTCTTCATGCCCTCTGGTTGCTTTCCTGAGAGAGGTTGATAAGATTTTTCTGGTACAGAAATCTTCAATCTGCATCTTCCAAAAGCCAAAGTCCGCACCATCGAACTTTTCAATTTCACCTTCCCTTCGTTGCAGCCATCGCTTCCACTCGAATCTGGCTTCTTTTGGATCGTTTCTGACAATTCTTGCGAACCACGTGTATTAGAACACCACTGTCGACAAACTCGTATCGCCGACCGAAATTTCACTATTCACGAAATTCACTATTCACATGAATAGTAATGAATAGAACCTCGCAGAAAATTGACAAAATTCAAACCAAAAAACCCAAAGTACCCGAAACGATACCCGAAATTGATAACGGAGTTCAGCCAATTGTGCTTACGTCTCCGGGCTACTGCAGATCTTTTACTAAGAGAAAAAATTTACAGGTGTTTACAAAACACTCACTACTCACAAGAAAACTCTCTAGTATAGGAAGAAAGAAATGTTTTGAGATGATTTTGAAGCTAAATGGGTAAGGGTATTTATAGTAGAAACTTAGGGACTAATCTTTGAAAATACCCTAAAGTGCAATGACTAAAGTGAATTTACCCATTCCTATTTTCAACAAACATCTACCAAAATTTTACCAAACTTTGAAAAACATTTTTCAAAGAAACATTTACCAAACTTTGAAAAAACATTTTTCAAAGTTGATTGCCAAACTTTAAAACTTTTAACAGTTTCCTGACTCACTGCGGGTGGAGTTAAGTGATTGAGTCGCTTGCGGTGGGAAAACCCTTAATATTGTTTCCTGTTGGAAGTTCAGATCTTGGATTAGTGGCTAGGTTGATGCATTGGAAAAAGGTTGGGTTGGAAATAGAAAGGAACAATGTCGATGGATCGTTTACGAATGAGTTGGTGGCTGAGTCTATTAAGCGAGTCATGGTGGATCCCGAGGGTGAGCAACTCAGAGCTAATGCACATGCAATGAAGGAGATTGTCGGCAACGTAGAGTTGAGTGGTAAATACTTGGATGAGTTTACTCGGTTAATAGAAATTACTTAGATAATGGACCCTGTTCATCTTAAATGGATCAAAGGGAGTCGATGGAGGCAATAATTCATATGTAAAAATTAATTTTTTTATATAATTTAAGTTTTTGTAATATTTTTTAAATATATATTTAATCATTCTTTTAATCATTAAAGTCATAAAATTCATATAAATAAAAATCTATAATTATAATCATAATATTTAAAAGTAATTTCATTACCGCATGATGCATTTTTACACTAACAAATGTATCTTTTAAAATAGCAATCAAGTGTATAGATAGATATAAATAGTACGAATCAAATTATTTAATTTTTAAAAATTATTATTATCTCTAAAGATTATAAATTTAAATATTAATAATTATACAATATAAATATTTCAAATTATTGGACCGTCGATAATTCTGAGAAGACAGGATCCTTTGTCCTATTTTATAGCCATTTTTTGAATATTTAATTTTAGACTCTTAAAATTTTCAGAAATATTAATTTGACCCCATAAAATTATTAGAAATTTACATTAAATTTTAAGCTTTTTAAATGATCGTAAATAAATCTATTTCATAATTTTAAAAGATCTTCTTAAATCTTTTAATCTTTCAAAAATTATAGTTAAATCTTTTTTAAAAAAAATATAAATTGAGCTCTTTAAAATTTTTAATTTAAACCTTGAAATTTTAAAAAATTTAAATTAATTCTTAATTTCTATTATTAAGTTCTACCACTCGATACTCTCATCTCCACCTTTTTCTTGCTACATAAAAATTTAGGTCAAATGTGACACCCTTAGTCTAGGGCTAAGGCTTATATAAGACTCAGTTGAAATTTATATAAGAAGTTACAGATAACCCACAAAAAATAACGGTGATAAAATTTAAATTTAACTTTATAAGCTTAAATTTTTAAACTCCAGTTACTTATACTAACACTCATTTAGCTAATATGTCGAATTTAATTTTAATTTTTTTTAATTGAATCGAGTTCAATTTTACAGTTTACCTCCTATTTATGTCCCCAAGCTCTTAATTAGCTTAAAAGGTTATCGAAAATGACAAAAAGTATTTAAAATATAAGATAATTCGAAGATAATGTTTACGATCACCGTTCGATCTATCACTATTAGACAGTTCCCGCCATTTTCGATTGACACATGCTGTATCCCCTTGTTCAACACCTGTCCACTGTTTTCCATTTAGACATTTCCAATACCAACTCCTTTTAGTCGGTTAATATATGTCTGCGTTGTGAGTTTAGAGCATTTGACAACTAATTACTTACACCAGGACGTTGGTAAAAATTTATGATAGAAGATACAAACATAAAAAATTATAATAAAAATTTAAAGGAGTATGAAGTTATAAATTTTAGGGATAAAATTTGATAATCAATAAAATATATTAATAAAAAATTTAAAATATAAGAGAATTTAAAGATTTTAAAGATTTTAAATGGTGAGATCGCACCCCCCAACATCCCTCGATTCATTCTTGCTTTATCCAATAATTTGAATTGGTTTTCATGCTCAGTTGACCAATTTTTTTTATCAATATATGTGAGATAGTATACGTTTCAAAGATTTTTAATAATAAAAGTTTACCATTCTTGTAATTTTTGATATTCGAGTTTAAAATTTCTAAAGATAATAACTATCTATATATTAATTGATATAATTTAATTCGTGCATCTCTTATAAAGTTTAAGACAAATTTACAGCCTGTTGTGACTGTTACAACCTGCCATTTTATCTTGAATTCTTGTGAACAGTTTGCAGGCTCGGCATGGCATGAATTGAAACACATAAGATAAGACAGGCTGTGGGATTCCTGGTTAGATTCTTCTTGGGGGCGTTTGGATTGGGAATGTGGGATTCCCGGAATGAAATCTATATTTTTTCGTTTGGTTGGAATGGAATATCATTTTCAGTAATATTTTATTATTAATAGTGAATTTTTTGGGTATATTATCAAGAATGTTATTATCTCCATTCCCTTAGGTATTGTAACATTACCGGTATTTTTAGACAAAAATACCCTTAAATTTATTTTTTTCTTCAAAAATATTATTCTTCTATCATTGAATAATAAAAATTCTACTAAGGTTAAATTACAAATTTATCCTTAAACTATTTTAAATTTACAAAAAAAATTATAATTAAAATTTTATATGAAATTCAAGGGTTAAAATAAACTTTTTACCCTTTCATTAAACCTTTTTTATATTTTTAATTTTGTAAAAAAATTTATATAAATTTTATGAATTTATTTTTTTTAAAGAAAATATATAAATATTTTACAACTTGTAATATTATACAAATATATAATAAGGACAATTTGGTCAAATATACATTCCAATAATATTTTATTCCTTTAACCAAACACGATAATCTTACATTTTTGCTAAACTAACCAAACACAAAATACAACATTCTCAGTAATCATATTCCCTGATAATCTTTTATTCCCCTGATAATCTTTTATTCCCTCTGATAATCTTTTATTCCTACTGATAATCTTTTATTCCCTCTGATAATCTTTTATTCCCACTAATAATCTTACATCCCGTGAACCAAACGCACCCTTATAACATTTTGTCCTGTAACTGTTTCGAATCATGATCTGAAATGGCTCATTGATGGGGCGATTTTCCTGATATATCATCATTGAACAGTATATTTCCCGATCAGACACCGTTTAGACTATATTTCCCGATATAACACCCTTTGCAGAAAGACGAGCCACTACAATCCCTGTAGTGCACTTTACGATGATTTGATGACACGTGGGGTAAGGAGTACCCCTTGAAGCGCGTCTTAGGCCACTTAGAAGTATAGCGCAGGGCAGAGGCAGCATCTTACCTTTAATACAATTATATTAGGCGCGGAACAGAGGCCGCATCTTAGCTTTATTTGATATAATTATGTAAGGTGCGGTGCAGGTACCGCGTCTTGTAGCTTTTCCCGGCTATAAATACCCTTTTCCCTGGTAACTCCTCACATCTCCTCTCGATTAGAAAAAAATTAATACAACAATCCGACAATCTTCTCATATTTGATTCAGAAGTTCGTGCGATTTTTAGTTATAAGGTAATTTTGTGATAATTTTTTTTATTATACTTATTTATTTATTATGATTATTTGAAAAAATTATTATACTAATTGTTGTCAATTAATTTATGTGTTTGTAAAATTAGAAAGCGGGAGTATATGTATAAATAGTTTTGCGGTACATGTAATAATATAAAATTATATTATTTAAATTATTTACGTTTATGTGTACAAATTTTATTGTGTTATATTTTCGTTCATATATTATTTATTTAATCAGCTTTGTTTCAATTTTTTTTTGCAGATATAATATTATCGTACTTTTAAACTCAAAGAATGGTGCGACTTTCAGCTATTGTTTATTATGATAGTGAAATTCGAGAAGATGAAACCGACGTTATTTTCATATCAAATGAGTGTGTTAAAATATCATTGAAGAGAAACATAACTCTTGAATATACCTTAGACAGAGATTATAAGAGTATTTGAGAGAAGTTGAGAGAATTTGGTGTGATGAAAGTGATTGAGGATGGAGTATTTATAGGGAGGGATTGGGGTGTGAAACGTCGGGGTAGGTGGGTAATTATAGCTGAGGTGCGTCTCAGGGGGCGCGTCTTTGTGACGCGTGGCAGATTTTGGGGTAAGGCGCGGCCCCAGCACAGCGCTATACCTCCTTTACACACGTGTATACCATGTCAGCATAAGGCGCGCTTCAGGGGGGCCGCCTTATCCCACGTGACACCAAATCAACGTAAAGAGCGTTGCAAGAAGCGCGCCTTCCTGCAAAGGGTGTTAGATCGAGAAATATAGTTTGAACGATGTCTGATCGGAAAATATACTGTTCAACGGTGATATATCGAGAAAATCGCCTACTGATGGACCATTTTCATCAAAAACCCAAAAATACCTTGAATGAAATAATGAAAGAACATTGCCCGGTAAATGACTTTCTCACTCAAGATTCCTCACCACTTTAGCATTTTCCTTCTCTAAATCTTGATCCTCTGGTGTGTGTGTGTGTGTTGCTGCTTTTCAGGTACGTACTTAGCATACAACAAGTATACAGAATCAGCACAATTTATTGGGATGACAAATATGGCACGCATAGCGTGTCATCGGATGTAAGTTCAAAGGTTCCATGCTACACCTGTTTTGGAATTTTGAAAATTTCCGCTTTCAAGACTTGCAAGTTTATAAATGAACATAATCTCACAATTGTACAGGTCATTGCAAACATGAGAGTTATAATGACCGAGGACTTCAACGTTGCCGGTAGTAGTTCATTCCTATTAGACGATGACTCGAGGATAGTGTTTACCTACTTTTAGCTTCCTGTAGAAGAGTACATAACCCCGTGTTGTCTTCACACCAAACACATTATGATTTCTATATTTACAACTCATGTCAATGCAGCATCCCGTTTACGGTGGATGACATCCCCAAGTCCCTGCAACAAGTGGACATAACTGATGTAGATCTCCCGTCGCTAATTCGTGAGAATTCTGGGTTTGGATTCTTACTTCCACGTACAGAGTCATAAACATGACCAGGCTTTATCCATTTCTATTATGCAAGAAAGAATAATTAATGGGATTGGACTCTGGCGGTGCATTGCATATTTGCATTGCATGTATTGGCATCGAGATTTGACTTTGCAAGCATTTGGATTAGGTTGGTGGGTAGGTGGAGATTCAATAACTTTTGCGTAAACCACGCAAGTTTTAGCCTTAAACGTTTGTTTTTCAAGAATTAATTGCATCACACATCTCTGAATTTGTGAACGTTTCAATAACATCCCCAAAAGTTTAGAGATAAGATTGAGATGTCTAAAAGTTTGGGGATTAATATAGAATGAGGTCGTAGTTTGGGGATAAATTTGGAATGCTTAAAAGTTTGAGGATCAATTTAGTATGAGAGTCATAGTTTAGGTATGAAATTAGAATATTTAAAATTTTAGAGATTAATTTAACATGATGACCAGAGTTTGATGACTTGTGATGAAATTAGCTGCTTTTTTTAAAAGAAAACTTTGAAGTTTTGGTAACGTGATTGTCGAGGGAGGG